TGCGTGCCGTCGCGTAATTCGTATTTGCTGGAAAACCTCATTTCGAGGGCTCCGGGGTAAGAATAAATGACGTTAATCGCGTCGGTCTAGTCTGGTGTCAACATGTTATTCGCGGAAGATACCGCGTGCTTTTATTCTAATCGCATTCTCTGCATATATCGATTACGCGCGGACTGCAAATGTCGAGGTTCCGCGAGGACGAATATTTTTACGCGATAACGTGGCGCGCGTCCCGAAAGATCGCGCCTGCGTAAAACGTAACGTTAAACGGGTTCGGTGTTGCCACGAATCGCGTAATATAGTCCGCGCTTGTGTTCTTCTCTCTTTCTTCCTCCTCTTACCTTCTCTCTTTCTCTTTCCTTTTAATCACACATGCAACGATCACGCGTTCAAGTGGAGGGGTCGCGCTCTTCCGCGAGCGATTACTCGAGAACGATAAAACGTCAGCCGCCACTTTGGCGCGAGCGCGACTCGCGCTGCAGCCGCGTAGAAAATTTTCGGTGAAACGCGCCTCGCGACCAGGACCGACGCACTCGTGCTGCTAGGCGAGAGATTCGACGATAGTTCGACGAGCTCGCTGATAAGCCGGTCTTCAATTGCCAGTCGTGAAACTTTTCCTGGCTTCTGTGCGAGGAGAGAGATCGACGAATGATAGACTGAGAGAGATAGACGCGATAAGGTATCTCACCACGTCGCGATATACCGTGGATATAATTCTTATTACCTGTAATCTTCGTAAGATCATAATCGTAAAGGAGACTTTACCGGACGGTAATAGCGTCGACGATTCAGGCGTGCGGGACTGTTCGGGAAGCAACGGAAGAGAATTGCGCGACTTGAGCGCAATTGCAAAATGCGCGTCGTATAACTCGCGACTCATGCGAGATGACGCGGAATCTCTCAGCGATCCGGCTCATTCGCGATACGATTCAACGTCGTGACGCAACATCGAGAAACAATTGCTCGTAAAGCACGTTTCGTTTGCGATAGTCGCAACGAGGGAAAAAGGAGGAAAATAAGAGCCCGTTTATCTAATGCGTCCGCGCATATCGTTAGTTTTGTGCATACATTCGCTTTTTATCAACAATATTCTCACTGATTTGTACCGTTACTTATGCTAATCGAAACGACAGGATGTTTTTTCTTTATTCCTCTCGCACCGAAACTGATGCAATCCGTATCAATACGCGCTGTGAAAACACCACGTGAAAAGTAGGTCGTCGTAAAACAAGCCACGACGACGATAACGACGACGACGAGTCGATCCGCTGATTGACCGGACGAACGAACGAACAAATTTTTAACAGCCAATCCGCTCGCTTCGACTGCTCGAACGACGCAATCACTTTTTCTTTTCTTTTTCCCGTCCGGTTCCACGTGGCCGAATCGACACCTAGACACACCTTCGCTCGCTTCGCTGCTATTGTCTGGGGGACAATATGTCTAGGAATAAACTAGCTTTCGCTTAGTAACAACTAGAGTCGCTGTATCATCGAATGAAACTGACATATGACTGGCGTTTATTATCGAGTTTTATTTGAAAACCGCCTCTTTCTCGAATACCAATTCGCGGATTATCAATCACTCAAATAGACGCTTCTATAAAACGCGTTTGATTTATATACAGATTACTAGGTATTAATTCTCGGCCTTTTTGGCATAATTTTGATTCTGTATTCCTCCGAGCTTCTTTAAACATAGCTAGAAATAGCCGGTTGAGTGACTCCCAGTTCTGCAACAAGCTCCTTTTGCGTCTGATAAGGATTTTCCTTGAGTAATTCTTCCAATTTCATCATCTTCAATTTTTTGTGGTTATCCAGGGTGTTCTTCATCCTGGAGATCCAAATCCCCGGAAACCATTCCGGAACTTCCGGAACCACTTTTTACACGTGCTGTAGGAGGACATAGTATTCTCGCCCAAAAGGCCAAACAAATCATTTTTTGTGCTTCTGCAACATTTTTTTAAGTTGGAATGCGAAAAGGAGGTAGTGCCTCAGATGCTGCTTTTCGAACGACATTGCTTTTAGTGTTATTCTTTGAGGATATATCAGTAGTACCATCAACTATTACAGCTCATTTTAAAGATGCCGCTTTAAAACGACTGTTTAGTGAAAAAGAAATTCAATTTGCCTGTACAGGTGCCTGTAGTCGATTCAATGTAGGAGCCAAGAATTAATTGATATACTTAATATACGTATATATCCCCGTCTCGTATCGACTTATTGTTAAGAGAAAAAAAATATACATCGAGCTTCGCAAGCCCAAAGTCGCGATTGATAAGGAATCGAAAGTCGAATAAAGCGTGAAAAGAAGAACGGCGTCTCGACGTTGGAAGTATCAACGATTGACCTTTTGACCGCGCAGCACGCTTTAACAAAAAAGCATTGTGCGATGCGATACTCGCATGACAGTCGCTGAAACTGGTTAGGCCGCGTCATTATACTTATTGTCAGAGACGCGAACGTCGTTCACGCGTGCAGAATACTTACTTCTGAATGAAATACGAAGGTAGTAACACTCGCGACATTGGTGATAAAACCCAGTACTCAGCATATAATGACAAAAATAATTCCTTGGACAATCGAACAACCTTGGACAATTTTTAAGTGGCAGATTCCTAAGAAAAAAAAATGCGCCACACAGGAGCAAAAATGTCTATCTTTCTTAACTTTATTCAACGCCCGTACAAAGTGCAAAATGCGTGTCGTTACGTAGACTCGAGTAATTTTGCAAGAGATTGCAAAGCTATCTCGATCGCACTGCCGGTTGCAGCGTTAAACAGTCGCATGTGGATCAAGGCTCGCCTACGCTTTATTTATATTCTCGTGCAGCGCCATTTCTTCGCTCTTTCCGCATGAATCACACGTTGACATCATGGTGTTTATCAGACGAAAGAGCTACCGGCGAACGGCGGAATCTTCTGCTCCGCTATCGCGATGCAAATGCACCCCGCACTCGCCGCATGTGGTCATCGTCGATCGGCGACGCGATCAATGGGTGCGTTCACGACACTCAACGGCAACTGTGCAACTGTTGAGTGATTTTGTCCTGAACGCTACTGAGTGAGCGGTCGCCATTTTTCTCATCATAAATATTCAACGCTACCTTTACTGATCAGTCTTCGATCCAACATGGCGCAGCCCATGAATAAAGAAAATAACAAAGAGAATAGTCATATAAATCCAAATATATATAGCGGGGAATGTCTAGGATGGTGTAGAATACATTGTAATAGACACATACGAATTATATTTATACAAATACTTAATAATTACAAGACACATAAACGTGTAGACGGGCCATAATATTTAGTACGTTTATCTGACATTTTTTCCGCGCAACCAAATCGAGCAGAACTCTGATCAGTTGCGTTCAGTGTACATTTCTACTGCTCACTCATCGCTCACTCATCGGATGCTCAACTGTTGTGCAACTGTTGAGCTTCGTGAACGTAGTAACGCACCCATTGACATCCGCGTCGCTTTAACTTCGCACGCCTGACAACTTTGGACTTTCCCATTTATTATCGCAGCGCTTTCGCAATAGGCGAATCACTTAATCAATTCGCCGCGATGTGCCGCGTCTTCCGCCAAAATCACGCGCGGTTGCAGCTCTAAAGATGCAACGATTTCTCAGAATATCGATAACGATATTATTCGTCATTCAAAACCATCGATAACGATAATATCGATAATTTTTAAATAAATATCGATATCTATATCGATATTTATATAGAAAAATGTATACATATATGGGTATGCATATAAAGGGTATACACGAAAAATTTAAAAAGATTTTTAACAAATTTTTATCCTCATATAATTTATTGTCATATTTTTATTAGAAAATATATAATAAACCGCATTGGTTGCTGGAGATCATTGCATATCTATATGGAGCAGGAGATTTATTACGGTTTAATGATTGAGGTGAAAATGATAAAAAAGTGAGCGAATTTATTCGGGACATCGACCAGTTACATGATATATACACACATGTGTATTCTAGTGAATTCGCTCACTTTTGTAATATTCATCTCGGTCGTAGTAGAACTATAATGGTTCCCAGAGATGTAACTGAAAAATACGAAATATCAGTAAAATTTATATCGATATATCGATTTTATCACAGATGGAAAAATATCAATAAATATTCGATATTTATCTCTCGATATCTCTCGATATTTCGATATTATCGATTTATCGTTGCACCCTTAGTCGCAGCATCGATTATTGCTCGATTCTCTTCCAAGATATCAAGACGCTCGTCGTCAGTGAACAAACTTACGTCGCCCGACTCGTCGGTTAACCGTATCGCGTCCTCGCAGCCGAGGAAGGTGCAATTTGCACGACAGGAAAAAATGACGACGAGGCGTTGCACGCGCGATCTTTCACGCATGACCCGCTCGGCCCGCAAGGCGAAAGAAATGCGCGTAGGCAATATGTCGGGCCAATTGTGTCTACACCACAAGAGTTCCGTGACCTGCGACGATGAAGAAGCGCGATATTCATAGTCTGCGCGTCAGTTCACTCTGCGGTGAGCGACTTATCGTCGTATACCATACACGCCCGCAACGACACGTAAACGATCGTCCGCGCGATTTGCGATTTCGTTTATCAACTACGCTCCCTTTTTCTTTCCCTTCTTCTCTCCCTCTCTCTCTCTCTCTCTCTCTCTCTCTCTCTCTCTCTCTCTCCCTCTCTCTCTCTCTCTCTCTCTCTCTCTCTCTCGCGCGCGCGCGCGCGCGCGCGTGCGGAAAATTCGCACGCTGGGCAGAAGCTCCTGTTGAATTCGAGAACGAATTCAGCTGGGAACCCTTCTTACGTACAAGAACACGCGCGTGCAGGTGTTGCAATGCGAGGTCGCGACTGAATAAGTTTAATTATCTCCTCGTCTCATTTGCACACGTCACGTGTAACGTGACGCGCGCTTCAGCTCGTAAACATATTCTACGTGTCCGGAGCGAGTGAATAATAATCTGTGGACCCTTCTTGTTGCAGAGAATGGCGGCACTTTGAAGATCCTGCTGAGCTTCGCCGTGGGTGCGTTGTTGGGTGACGTTTTCCTACATCTTTTGCCGGAAGCTTTTGAGAGCGAATTTCAGAGACGAGGTAATTCATTATGATGTTTGCTCCTGTGCTTCGCTTGCGCGACGAGGTCCCATCTCGTACAGAGTATTTGAATTTAGATATATCGTAGCAAAAAGCAAAAAGAAAGAACGAAAAATGAGAAAAGGAGTCGCATGCTTTTTGAGCGCGTTCGAAGGACGCTATTAGCACTATTAATTTGGCAGAAGCTGCCAAAACTATTCATAAAGCGTGATAACGCGTAGTGTAACTTTAACATCACTATATTATACTAATTAATATATTAGCGTCGTTTCCGCATTTTAAACATCTTTTCAGTTTTAACACCCCCAAGATTATAATATACTAAATAGCGCTAATAACGCCTCTCCGAATCCTATTCCGAATGCTTTGGACCTTTGGACGTCGATATGAATTTTATTATTATTGTTGTAAAACGTGAGATATATTCATCAACGCGCGACTTAATAAATTGATATGTCACTAGAAAAGCGACGTTTTCAACAGTATGCGCGTCAGCGCCGTTATCAAGAGAAATTGCGGGCGACAAAAATAACGAGTAATCCGAGATTATACCGATGAACTTCGGAGTTTGATCAACTAGGCTAGTTGACTAATAAATAATAAACGATTTTTCTGTTTCGGAGCGATTATCTATCGTTCGATACGACGCGCCTCGTAGATGAGAAAGTCGACTGTGGATCCTGCAGAGAAATTCTGCTTTAAAGAGAGAATTTATTTTTTTTTTTACTATTATTCGTGTACATAATGAACAATTCTCTCTCCTTCCCGAGTCCCATGAAAAGGAGAATTTTAATTTTCTAGCGGAATAAGAAACGGACGAAAACTCGGTGACGAAGGATGATGTTTTCGTTACATCGCGATAGTTCGGGTATTCATCGGAAGATTCAGAGCCGCGTGATAGCGTGTTTGAAATAGTCAAGAACAATTGGGAGAAACCCGCATAAATTTTTCTACAATCGAGTATTCGTTTGGTCCCCGGCTGGCGGAAGATTCAGTTGCACCGGCGAGGTTGTTTTTCCCATGCGGGATCATTCCCTCCGTTTTCGGTGTTCGCGCATCGTACGGTCGCGTACGCGCTGTGAATGCATTTTGCGAGCTCCGGCATGTCGGTAGAACACAGCGAAGCGGCATATATATTGTCCAGAGAGAGAGAGAGAGAGAGAGAGAGAGAGAGAGAGAGAGAGAGAGAGAGAGAGAGAGAGAGAGAGAGAGAGAGAGAGAGAGAGAGAGAGAAAGCTTTATGAGCGATTTAAACGACGACTTCGAACTCCATTGTGCGTCAGTTGTGGGATTTGAATTGCCAGCTGCGTCCACGTAAATGAAATGTCCTCCTAGCCTTGTCGCGACAAGGAATTCGAGACGATCTAGTCGGGCGAGGCTGATGACACTACTTTGTGTAAATCGATCAGTACCTCGAATTGCAGATTGTCCACCTACGCATTCACGTTTTCCGTTTGGCGATATCGTGGAATGGGGGGTTACGGACGCTCATGCGCCCGTGCATATTAAATTGCGTAATCGGCATTGAGTGAGACGCGCGATATATTGAAGAATGCACATTTTATGCGCGCATGAATATGAATCGATCTTTCGTTCAACGAGGTCGTGAAACGATACATTATAAGTCGATTGTGTCGTCGGCGGCATTTCATTAGCGAGCGGAATGCTTCGTCTTGTATCCTGCCTCAGAGTATCCTTGATCCGTCTGTTACTACGTTTTCCATATGTTTATTGACGCGTACTTTTCTTTCCAGCCGAGGACAGTGAAGCGTCTACACCGGCTGGTCTGTGGATATTGTCCGCTTTTCTGTTCTTCGTTATCTTCGAGAAGATCATCGCAGCTGTGAATGAGGAAGCGCCGATCATTACGGAGCAGCAGACTGATGATGAAGCCTCGATCCAGGACACGAGCCCGGAGAAAGAGATGGACAACAATAACTGTATTACGCTGATGAACACTGAGACCGCGAAGAACGGTTACGCGAAGGAATACTTGCGAGACAACAACGAGGTAAAATGCAATAAAAATGTTCTAAGCGACGTATATTTATGTATATTACGCATTGTTCCAAACATTCAGACGCTTTTCTCGCTACGACAGATGCAGATCTTTCTACGGAAGCAATCGGACAAGAATGGATTCGTGCAAATACCGATTGGTATGAAAGAGTTGCGTAAGAACGGCTTCAACAAAGACGTGAACGTTATGAAATCGGCATTAGCGAGCAAGTGCCCCAATGACGGGCCGTTGATGGACGAGACGAAGATCTGCTTGAAGAAACTGGCGAAGAGCAACGGCTTCACGTCGGCGCTTTTACGCACCGACGAGCCTGCCACACTCCCGAAAAACATGGTCGGCCGCCTGATCATCAAGGCGAACAAGCTCATGTCCGACTTGTCTCATGCCAAGTTTTTCAATCCTCAGTCCTTCCCCGGGTACCTTAACCTTTTGATGAACTTTCTCGACAATTTCACTCATGGCCTGTCTGTGGGTGGTTCGTTCCTCATTTCCTTCCGTGTAGGTATCCTCAGTACGTTCACTATTTTGGTGCATGAAATACCTCATGAAGTCGGAGACTTCGCTATTCTACTGCGCAGCGGATTTAGCAGATGGGGCGCTGCACGAGCGCAGTTAGTCACCGCTGGCGGTGGTATCGTTGGTGCTTTAGCTGCTGTATTCTTTTCTAGTGGTCTGGGTAAGTGATTTCCGTAAGAACTGGAAATGGAAATGGAAAACTCACATGCATCTCAATTCGATTCTGAGAAAATTATACAACTACTGTGCGGAAAGTAACAAGTGATCACGGTTCTTTAAAGTGTAAAAATTCTCTTTCTTTTGAAGCTAATCAAAGCTTTTTTTCTGTGAAAGAAGTTACTTTTTCTTACAAGATGTCTAAGAATCTTTTCCTTCTTCGCTGTTATTGAATATTCTATCTTTACAATTTGGATTTGTAATATAATACATTATGTGTAGTATATCTACCATAGATGATATTGTCAGTAATTTTGATTTTTTACTTTTTTCTTTTCAGAAGAAAAAACCAATTGGATATTGCCATTAACTGCAGGAGGATTCATACACATCGGCCTGGTAACCATCTTGCCCGATTTATTGAGAGAAACAAACCCGATGGAGTCTTTAAAACAACTCTGTGCTCTACTTTTTGGAGTTGCCGTAATGGCCGCGTTGATGTTCGTTTAGTTCTGATACACGCTATTAATATATTTGATCACATCTCCAAAATTAGTTATATTAAGTAGAAAGTTATTATGTTAATATATACGTATATTGAGTATAATTTTGCCGGTCCCATTTCTACTTTTCGGTGCGTATGTCAGTACTCGGATGTTGCCATAAAGTTATATAATATATGTTGCTCAATTGTGGGAAAATTTTATCGAGAAGGTTATATAGCAATGAGAATTGACTGACCAAATTCACGTATGCGATGATGATAATGTACGTATATACACATTATATATATATATATATATATATATATATATATATATATATATATATATATGATGTGTATATACATATAATTTTTCTTAATCTAGGTTTATAGCGTTTTATATTGAAAATATTTTTCAACACTGGAATATCTTACTGTCTAAGTCTGAGATTATCATTATAATTTCTTTTGCTTCTCTCTATGATATTTCAATGAAATTAAATTTTGTTCGCGCAAAGATGCAAGTTTCACGATAAGAAACCATGTTTGGATAACGTAAGGAGGACTGTTTTCTCAAGTCTGAAGTAACGATAACAGCGGAACAAGATTCGCTCTTTCGACGAGAATAATACATATATAATTTGTACATTAGTTGGATCTAGTTATACACATGTTATCGCGTTAATATTGACAAGACAATTCGAGAAATGCTGTTATAAATCTCGTATAGTTTATACATTAATAACCGCACATCTTCCGTCATAGTTGAGACAGTATCGATACCTTCCACCGATATCGATGCATCTGGTTATTCTCTTTTGCACACATAACCAGACGCTGCGATACTAATTAAAAGATAAATCTAAAACCAGTATTGACATATAAATATCATGTTGTGAAGAAATCTGAAAGATGTATACAATGTTCATGCTATTTGCTTGTTTGATACATAAAAAGATATGCGAAAATCGCGATAAGAACCTGTAAAGTGTAACGCGTTATATGCATGTATTTATGATGCACATACGAAAATATTAAGTATACCAAGATGTATACATTAAGTTCCTAATGGTAATTGTACATCATAATTAGATTCAATTCATCTTCTGTTGAGGAATAATCGTATGATAAAGTGAAAAAGTATTCCATGTGTTGTGCGGAATTGGAAACAAAGTTGTATTTTGTGTTTATGATTAAACAAATTGAACAAATACAGATAATGTGAAATTTGTGTACAAATTTTATAAAATTCGAATTTAGATATATGCATAGTAATCTTTTTAATGTATTTGATAAAACACTTGTAAGGTCTCACGAAATTAGATTACTTTTTGAATAGACCGTAAGATGTAAAAAGTAAATTTGAACAAATATAAAATTAATTATATCCCTTTTATTCACGCTTTTAGAAAATTTTATTAACAGCATATCAGTAAAATATTAATTACACCCATCATTTTGATGAAAATTTAATACAATTGCAACAAAATTGTAACTGAGATACGAAAACAAAAAAGATATTTTGAATACCTACTGTAACCTCTTTGATATATTTACGTATCTGTGAGAATACCATTATGAAAAATTTGTATTATCACATATTTAAAATATACTTCATACTTCGTTATATATTTAGAGATATTTCCAATTAAATATTTAAATGATACACATAAATGTTTATAAACCTTGTTATAAGTCGCAGTTTTTATAAAAATTGGTGAAACTAACAAAAAAAGCTCGACTATTGCGATTTACTTTTGATAATCTGTCATACACAATGTCCATGTTTTATAAATTACGCAAGTAAACGCAACACTTGTACTTAACAAGTGGAAAAAAACAAGATATTTCATTCTGATTGCGTGATACAGGGAAGTGCTTCTTTTCTTGCACCTGTAAATAGAAACTCTACTCGGAGAACTGAGAATAAACAACTTTTACAAAAATATTTTCTATGAATTACGATTATAAGTGAAACTGTTCATATGTAATTTCTAATTCTCTCGCTATGATTTGTAAATAAAATATGCTATTCTGCAATATATATTTGTGCCTTACTTTTCTTATATTACATATTAAGGGACTCTCCTCAGATGAAATACATTAGATGAAACACAAACAGTACAAAAAAAATAATTTATTAAATAATTATTCTTAAACAAAAAACTTAACAGGTATACATTCACACTAAATTGAAGCATGATTGAAACACAAACAAATGCCTCTTAAATATTATATACATACTTCTCAGTCATTTACTTCAAATAATGTCATGTAGAAATATGAATTTTAAATGTAATCATATATACACACACACCACACACACACACACACATACACACATATATATATATACATACATACATATATATATATATATATATACAGGGTACATTTGGAGGGAGGGGGAATTTTACGTAGAGTTCTAGGTCAGGTCTTTAAAATTCCCGTCTACGTTCGAAACGTTAAAGATAGGTCAGTAAAAAAAAATTCTCAAAATCTTAAACTTACAAAAAAATTATTAATTGTTAAATTTGTGGTAGATTTAACATTATATAATTTAATAGAATATTTAATTTCGTAATTTAAAGTATACCATACTTCAGGCGTAAGAAACAAACATTTATGCACTATCCAATCATTGGTACAAGTGCAATAAGTTATTTACAGTGAGAAAATTGTGTACTGTTATATTTAGAATAACAAAATATAAAAATTCACGATTAAATAATAACTCTTCTTAAAATTTACGAATCGCAACTATTCGTTTGCCACATATGGTATCTTTTTTTTTACTCCAAAATTCTTATAATATAGTTAATATTTTCTTTTGTCCTTGCAAAATTTCTTATGCTAGTTCAAATGAATGTGACTCAAGAAAGTTCTATATTATTGCACCTGGTGCATGATTATAATTTTACATCAGTTTTAACACAAAGCTGGAATTAAAATCTCTGAGAACTTTCGTATATATTTGATTGTTTTAGATATAAACTCAAACTATTCACAGTTCATCATGAGGTGTTTCAGAAATAGTAACTTTCAATCTTTCAATCAGCAATATTAAACTCTTTAAAACGTCGGTTTCATCGACGGTGAGTTTAATATTCAGATTTTTATATAAATGCAAGAGATTATCTATGACAGGTATGAGCAGAAGCTTAATTTCTTTGAATTCATTTTTACAAATAGGAGATACTGTAATCATGCTGTCGGAAACTACTTCAAGAAAATCATTATTTTCTATACTAAATTTGCCAGATAACTTCTCCTTGAAACACTTGATCATCAAGTTGCTCAAAAGTTTACAATAATCATGCCTCAATAACCTTTGTTCAAAATCAGTAATGGCATATTCTCTCATTTTCTGTTGGCGCTGTTCTACATCATAGATCTCTTGTAAATTTTGTCTCTCAATTGTTAGATCATTAATTAATTTCATTGCTTTCATCTGTATCTGCAATTGATCATCATACAAAATTTTGCCAAGCAGCTGTAAACCACCATGATCGATCCAAGCTTTCTGAGCAGCAGGGAACTGACGTATTAAGGCACTTAGAGCAAAGAGGCATCTGGACTTTACTTCAGGTTTACTGCTTGTGGATAAAACGTGCAATACTTTTTGGATAAAATCATTTTCTAATGCTTTAGCTTGTACTTTTGGATTCGATTGGACAGCTGCTCCTAAAAGCCGTAATGCTTCTGCTTTTATCTCATTATTAGTTCCATTGAGACATGGTGATATAATCTTGATCAATCTGTAATTAAAAAGAACACAGATATTGAAATCAAATTGCTTCTTCCTTTCCTTCTGTTGTAAATATTATATTTACTACACTTACCCCTCCATGTCTGAGAATATTTTAGCGTTGTCAATTTGATGAAGAAGATATTCTAAATTGTTCAAAATATCCAAAACTTCTTCAATTTCTACACTGGTTAATGTTCCTGCAGTGATACTATTTTTATAAGAGAGAAATTTCTGAAAAAATCTTTTTAATAATTCGGAATCACTTGTAACATTAATCTTTAGAGCATTAAGCTCCTCTTTTACAATTTCATAAAAACGTTTAAAGTGTTTTCCAGTTTTGGTTCTGGTTTCTCCATCCTAAAATAAAAGATATTACAGTAGATATATTGTTCTTACATAGGACTTTTGAGACTTATTAGCTCGAAATTTTCACCATAGAAGCAAGTATAAGATGATGCAACATATTGAAAACAAGTAGGTTTTTAAAGTACATTTTTAAAGATCAGATAATCATCACACCAGAAGCTATTATAAAAATTGAATATTTCAGCAATAATCTGTATTATCCGTAATAGTTAGAAACTTCTTGAACACTAAATATTAATGATAAAGAATGTTTACATTCGTGTTTATCATGTCCGCTTCTCCTTGCTTGAGTTTTTCCAATCTCGCCTTTAATTCATCAATTGGAAATTTCAAAGATTTTGATTTCTTCTTCACCTCCACAGAATCTGCTTCTTCAGTCTCTAGTACCGATTTATCAGGATGTAGAGTCAGTGACTTGGAATCTGATCGATTCACAGTTTCATCATCTTCCTTTACTTCCTCTGCATCGTCCATTAATTTAGCTTCTGTTACTCCAGTCATAAAATTATGTCTCACATGAAGTCCCTTTGGGATAGGGGTTCCTGATCAATTAAATTTCTATGAAATCTTAATCGTAATTATAGCACACATTTGTTGATGTTTGATTTACATAAATACTCTAATTCTATGCGAAATTCTATCCGAATAGACATATATATGTGATAAAATTGAGTTGAATCAAAGATACAAACAATTTGCATATTTGTTAACACATTGACACAAAAATTATTTAGAGCAAAATCTCCCGGTTCTGCCACTGATATTCTAAGAAAAAAAAACTTATATGCTGCGCCAAGAATGATAATTTCAGAATAATTCGTAATTTCCCAAAAACGCGTACAATTGCACCTTGTAATCGTGCCCGAGCATACGTCACTGAGACGCTTGGCCTGCGAGATCACCGAGTTCGCACTATTTGCCGCACAAAGCGACCCCGCATCCGGACAATTCCGGAAAATCGCGCAGCAGAGCGCACACGTCCTCGGAGACAACACTGGCGAGGCATATATTCGTGATACATCTCGAGAAGATTACACGGCGGATTTGACTGACGTGGTGTTACGCGAAAAGACGATCCGGTCGTCGACGTAAAGTAGTCCCACGTCGTACTACGAATTCGACCGTCGAAACTCACCTTTCTTCACCGTCTGCCACTCGTGCGTCGCCACAAAGGCGCTCTCATTTTTTTCGGCTCCGCCGAAAATCGCGAACGATAGGTAAATCAGCAGTATGTACGTGTCGGCACGCATTCTGACTAGCACGTAGCCGAAGGCCACAGCGGACGCAACAATGATGCGCGATTTTTCTCGAGAGCACGATTGGATCCCTCACGAAGACGCGCGCAAGCCGCTCGTCATTGACCAACAAAATGTGCGACGTGTGATCCTCAGAATAGCGCTACACATGACATTTTACACGAGACTCGAGCGTTATTCACGTGTTGCGTCCGTTATTTATTCCGTCAATGTGGTCCAATGTGCCGATGATGGTTCCGTGTGTTCGCCACCAGAGCTGCTCGATCGGCCAATCGGGCTGCGCGATGTTGCCGCGATTGTCTTTTAAATCGCGCCATAATCGAATATTATTTTTTTTAACAGAGATTTAATTCACAATCGATACGAGAAAAAAACGCGAATGGGCTGCCTCGTTCGTCCGTTCGCCTCGAAATTCCACGCGAAATTATTCTATCCTCCAATTCTCGCTCGCAGGAACTCCAAACCTCGGATTCTCGTCGAGCTTGTCGTATGTGATTCTGAGAAACAAGACGGACACGTTTACACGGCTGCCGTGTCGGAAAGAGATTTTCTGACCGATCACTGAGGTTTCTTCCCTAACGTGACGAATGTCATGTCGCACGTAATTAAAAGCGCCGAGTAGGAATCCACGACAATCGAATCATCGACGGAGAATTCTCGGGGGGTTCGCCGAGCGCCACGCTCGTCGCCTTCGGTGAGAAATCCTCGGCAACGTCGCAAGTCACACTCGGCCAATCGGCACACAGAACGTACTCTGGGCGCGCAAGGCCGACTACGCGAAAGCCATTCGCCTCATTTGCTACGCGTTCGCCCAGCACGTGCGACTCCTGTTCCTTCGCGCAGTAATCGGTTGCGCGCGCGGCGTCTCTCCAGCCTCTCCATCACTACGTACGGCACGCACACGTCCATCGGCTCCCGAACACATCACGCTAACGAGAATCCGTTAATATTGCACCGATCGCCATGGCGGAGGAGTATCTATACGGTAAATATGATCAGTCGCGTCGCCACGATAATCGTCCGCCCGTTATTTCGAGATGCACGCGAATACTTACGTGCCGTCGGCCATTGAAAACGAACGGGGGTGCACTAGTCGAAACGCCGGCTGCGGCATTCGGCCATTGCAACGAACCCCATTGTCCCCGAGGCCGGCGTTGTTAAGCACGTAACGACAAGTATCGTGTATCGGACTCCGCTTGATCGCGTCGCTCGGCATTTTATACATGCGTTGTCGTAGTCGTCGTCATCATCGTCGTCGTCGTCGTCGTCGTCGTCGTCGTCGTCGTCGTCGTCGTCGTCGTCGTCGTCGTCGTCATCGTCATCATCATTATCATCATCATCATCATCATCATCATCATCATCATCGTCGTCATCGTCGTCGTTGTCTCCATCATCGCCATCAACGGCGGCGGCGATGATGATTTACCACACCGGAGTATAAATTGTGTGATTTATGTGTCCAGGAATCACTCTAGAGGGACCGAACGCCAGCGAGGTATGGGACCCGGAACACAAGAACGACGACCTGGACGGCACGAACCAACACATGGGCGCCGATCAGAAGCTCATCATCAAAATGGTAAGTACGATATTTCTCGCGCCGACAACGAGGAGGAGGAGAAGGAAGAGAGAGAGAGAAAGAGAGAGACCATGACGGTCGACGGTCCTCCCCGCCTGCGATTCTTTCATTACCCGAGGTGAGCAGCGACGGCGCTTTACGCGTCTGACTTTTGTTAGCGAGGTGGGTAGATAGGTAGATGCTGCAACGTTTTTCTTCATTTTTTTTTCCGCGCGTTCATTTACTCCGCGCACCGGTAGGTAGGCAGGTAGCCACCGGCGAGGTATGGCGATTTTCAGACGTACCGCTGCATCTGTGTTGCGAGCGTCGCACTATTCGGTCAGTGTCTGCCGTCATTCTCAAAGTTGCCTCGATCCACTCTCTCTCTCTCTCTCTTTCTCTCTCTGGCTCTGACCAGCGCGTCTTTGTCACGGGGACGTTTGCGCGCGAAACTTCAATCGCCGATTAATCACGTTTCTTGTCTCATCCCTTGATACCATGAGGTCTCGCTTCAGTGATTTTTGGACAAAGTCCCGTATGTTGCTCCGACTTCCGGATCCGAACACGCGCGCGAACGACGGCAACGTCTCGAGGAAAACCGTTGAACGCCGCTCATTTTCAGCCGCGTTCGCACAAACGGTAGAGCATTTTTTACTTACTTTTTTCTTCGAAATGGCATACTTGTTCTCGCGCGACCGTTGCGCACCGCAATTTGTCGAATCGTTTTTTGAGCGTGGTATGAAATGAACACATCCGGTTAATTTCGAGTCTTTCTGACGAACACGTTGCGAAAGTTTGATGCTTGGCGCCATTTTTCACAACGGCTTCGCCCTTCCCCCACCTTACATCACGATCTATTATATCACGGAAGAAGGTTGTAATGGATATTTCACGAGATAAATCGCGTCCACGAAAGGACAAAGTTGTATAATTCTGCATTTCATCGATTAAATATTTTATTTATCGAGCCGTAAATTCGACTTTTTAATACGATTTTAACACAAATTGCGAGAGAGATCTCGAATATCAAAATACTTATTAACATATAATTTTACAAGAATCATCTATAATTTAACATCATACCGTTTATTGCATAATTATAACTTTTATATTCTATCTTTTGATGAAATATTAGTAAGAATAAGAATATAGCTATATTTTATTCAGCTATGAAAATCATGAATTTCACAGTTGGCAATAAACTAAAAAATTGCAAAGTGCTTAAATATATCACTTTATTCTGTATTGCCTTGAACGATTCTTTATATATGATTATTGCAGTTAAAACCAGCTCCTTTTTTTCTAATGTAATAGGATCAGTTGCTTTGAATTGATCGTTTAAATAACTTTCTGAGTATACAAAAATTATATTAATTTTAAATGATTTTGTTTGTATTATTATGTTTATCTGATTTTTACTGCATAACAGCTATTAATCACACTTTACAGGTGCTTTTGGGCATGTATCTGATTTTTTCTGCATAGTTACTACTAATCATGAACTTTGCAGGCGCTCTTGGGACCAGAAGCCAAACCTGGAGAGCTCAATGTGCTACAGGTTGAAGCGATGGGATTAAAAGGACCCATCAAAACACCAATTGCTCTATTAGAAATGGGAAAAACAGCGCAAATCATTCTTGATCTTAGTTTCCCAGACCCTCCTGTCACATTTACATTGGTCAATGGCAGTGGACCTGTTCATATAGTTGGACATAATCTCCTTGGTATGTATTTTTATATATGAGAATACCTCTGTCTTTGTGCAATTTATGTATTTAATGTTTAAAGATAATGTTGTTGGTGGAACATTGGTAATTTTATTGTGTTTTACTATTACTTATTGTTACTTTACTGAACTTATATTTACTAATACTTCATTAAGCATATATGTGCTATTGGTATGCATTTTTTTTTCTTTTTGCATATAGTGTTTAATACAGAATGTTGAATACATGTATCTTTTGAAAATTAAATCTTAGGAGCGTATTTCCCTGTCGGACTTCTATACATATATATATACACACACATATATATATATATATATATATATATATATATATATATATTTATTACTGGCTACATGATTCTGTTTATGTGTAAAAAAATTAATGTTCTTGATTGCTATATTTATCTTTATAAAAATATGTTAAATAAGGGCGATATAAGAGAATCTGGACCCCTTGTGAAAAATATTGAGAAAATTATCTAAAAGTGTATTTATCTTATTAGGATTCTTTTTATGTAAATTTAGAAACTTATGAATTATTTGTCATTGCTTATAGCATGTACATGGTGCATGTTCAATTTTGTGTTATCATATACACAAAGAAATTTTTAAGGCCATGCATGAAATATAAGTATGTGAAAATTTTTCGATAAGAGGGATAACAATTAATTTTGTACGACTATTTTATGCAAAATGTGAATGTTCTGATTATGTGATATCTTAATTTGTTCTCTGTTTGTGATGCATTATTTACAGTAGTATATCACGTCATAATTGTGTTGTGATACATTAAAAGATGAGATTTTCCTAAGTGTAGAAAAACTTCCATGTTTCTGTTTTTTGTAAGTACTATATTATTATTATTTCAGATACTTTTCATAATGATATATTTTCAGGTACGCACATCGAAGAGTTCGAGGATATAGATGATGATATGGACGAAGAAAATATCGATGACGAAGAAGATGAAAAGGTATGTAAATTGGTATATTATACATGTTATAAGATTTCAAATATATATAAATGCGCCACGGGCAAAAAATTTCTTTGTAATAAAATTAACAAAAGTGCATGTATGTTAAATTGGTAACTGCAGAAATTATATGTGGAAATGATATGAGATGTGTATTTGAACATTAACATAAAATTACCGACAAAGATAACATCTCTAGAAATCTTGTAAATGTTTTGAAAAATGCATTATATATATATATATATATATACATATACATATAATGCATTATTATATATATAATTTTCTGCACATATAATATAAATATTACATAATTCAATTAGAATTCACTGTAAAGAATCTAATGATGAGATTCACATCTCTAGCTTGTGTATATTGTAAAAATAAAATCAGTAGCAATATTTCAAATTATACATATTAGAAATACCGATTTCAGGCTCCGCAAATGAAACGAAAGCTTTCTGCAGAGGTAAAAAAGAATGGCATTAAACACGTCTAACTGGATGAAGCCGTAGACTAATATCATGTTAAGATAAATATATAACAAATATTGCACAAAGAACACTCTTAATTCTACAATATCTTATGTTTAAGATACCTTTGCATTGATAAGGGAGGGATGAACTGGATATGATTCATTTATGAAAAATCACAAATGTACTTGGTACACTTGTGTTTTTATTCCATATTCGTTATTTTGATTTTGTATAATAAATTATCTTATTTTGCAAAGAGTTACTTTTATTCTTCATTGATCATGTTTCCTCCTCTATTTTTATAAAATAATACGTTTGATTTATATATAACTTTTATTTCTTTCTAGTATCGCAAGTCACGAAATTTATACTAATTTAACAATACAAACAAGATATAGTTTTGAAAATTTGGAATTGTTAATAACTACAGATCTTTTATATTTTGATATACTTAAATTATAAAATGTAAATTCGCAGATACATATTTCTTTTTCTTAAAATGTATACTGATAAAGAGATAAACGCATAAATTATACAGAAGGTGACCTCCCTGTAGTTATTTCAAGACTTTGACAAATTGTGTTCTATATGCAATTTTGGGATGTTATAATCTAATATAAAAGTCAAAAGTACAATCAAGTATAAAAATCAATTAGACATGGTTACATATTTCACTATATGATTGAATCTTTAATATTTTGCAGGACCCTGATGATGAGGACGATGAAGATGATGAACCTAAAAAGAAGAACGCCAAATTGACAACTGCAGCCAAATACAAAAATCAGGCTAACAAGAACAAGAAAAAATAAATATGAGCCTTAAAATTATGAAAATACAATAAACTTTTAAGTTAGGATATTAAACTTAAGTCCATCATTATCATCCGCATTTGTGCGAATCTAGTATCATTTCATAAGGGTCCTGCCCTTTTCAATTCATTGTTTCATTATCAGATGACAAACATTGCCTTCCACTTTTCTAGAAACACAACTGGACCAATGAAATTTTTGTAACATAATTATGTTTGCTTTGCAAATGCTTTATTACATACTAATGCTACCTACTATTATATTTTTTCGCAAAAAGAGATGATATACGTTATATTGAGAAATATCACTTGCATTCTGTTTAACAGATAGAGAATAAGACCTATATTCAGAACGTGCTTATAACTATGTTAGTATGCTGTTAACCAATCAGAAGGCATATTTCGTGGCTTTTCATTGATTTCACTGGTTAACAGCGCGCTAACATAGTTACAAGCATGTTCTGAATATGGGTCTAAGAGTATTTTTTTGCCATATTTTTAATTTAATGCTTTTTCTCCAAAACAGGACTTGTTACATTTATTACAGTAACTTGACGAGTATATACATCAAATTATATTGGAAATGTATAATTACGAGTGTCATTTTGCAAAATATGTTATTTTTACGACCATAATTCTTGTTAATTTACAAGAAGCATTATCCAATTGTATTAAAATATATAGAAAAACATTTTAAATGTAAGGTCCATAGCTTGCTTCTTATTTCTAAACTGAACGTTCATCTTTTATTTCATCGCGACTGTGAACAAATTGTGCGACAGCACAAGTTTTTATAAAAATAGCGGTTGGACAATTTTGGTCCAGTTGTTACTGTGAAATTAGTGGAAAGCTAATGGACGGATATGCAGTCATGTTTTGCGTTTTCTTTCCGTCTTCTCCGAGATGGTATTCATATCGACGCACTTCCAGAGATGCGAAAATATATTATTCTAACGTAGCCGTATAAACACGACTTAAAGATAGTCTCCTGTAAGAAATGGCGTGATAAAACTCCTTTGTAACTAATTATTTTCATGTGTACAAGATGGGGGAAGGATTAATAGTTAGTCATACGGAAAGTTTCTCTATTCCAAAATCTTATGTCTGTAAAAATATCAGCATTATATACAAAAAGAAACATACGCGTACATCATCTCAACATTCATTCCATTTGATGAAAGATAATAGAAATGGAGGTTACAGGTGTACCGAGTGAAAAGAAATGTTTTTACATCGGTGTGTCGTACACGACTGAAACACGATGCGTGCAAAAGACGCGCCTATGGATCGAGTAGTCTGTACACCTAGTAGTCTGTACACCTATTTTGTACATATACAATACAATAAAAAATTTCACAACTTTTAATCCGTATCGCTCGGGTAAATGATCATTTAAGTGCACCTCTCATTTTGTAATGTTACTTTTTATCATCTTTATTTTGTGTTGTCAATTTTTAGCGATATTTTAAATAATTCTCTGTAACACGTCTTTATATATCGTGGTTAGAATTTCTTGTTCCTGAAATATAAAATATTGTTTTGTGGCACGATTTGTGTACATTGTAATGGTAAAATTATTAATCTGCGAACAATAAATTTTTCTCCACAGTGTTATCTCGGTATGCAACTATTCTATATCGTAATATGTGCAGCACTGCGTAACATATATCCGGATGTTTCTGATGTTTCATGATCAGTAGATGATTCTGATTTCAATGGTTGTATAAAGTTATTAACAATTAAAATTATTGATTATTAAAGTAAAGTTAAATAATGAATGCGTACAAGAAGAAATTATATTCCGTGTCACGATTATGACTAGGCTTTTTTTTTATGACGGTGCTGTAAGAATGAAAATTAAAAAATCTGTCTGAAAATGTACGTTTGTAAGTTTACATTCTTTATAATTAATAACATTTTAAATTGCTAACGTTTTGTATCAAAGATCATTTATTGATTAAAACATCGATATCTCGTTATTTGTTAATCACGTAGTATTAATAGTTTACTTAAATATAGAATAATTGCAGTAAGAGTTTTATTATAACTATTTATACTTTTGAATTTATCTATATACAAAATGATCATATTTAATATACTTACTAATTAAGTGTGAGAATTGTCGACATTCCGGATATATTTCACTTGTCTTTAATTTTATTTCAATTTGTCCTACGACGTTGACTATGTATTTGACAAGGATTTTGTATACAGACGATCTAAGAAAGTAATTTGCAACATGTCAAGGTTATTTACTTAATTTTATATATAAAAGAAAATACAACGTAAACTCTTTCGACACTTATCCTTTAGTTTTAGACCAAATTAAACACAGAAGCAACTCAAAATATTTGGAAATTACGATCTCAAAATTTACTTACATGAAAGTCGTGTTATAACCTATGATATAATCAATATAACAAATTGAGAAAAAAAAAGAAATTGTCCGATACTCAAGACGGAGTATATTACGCATTGTGATTGTCGAAGTTGAATATTGTATGATATGCAGGATGTTAATCTAAATAAATATTCTACTAATGCAAAGAACGAAGTCTCTCAAGGTATTGCAGAATGTGACACAGCTGAGCACAAAGTAATAGCCTTACAACAACAAGTACGTTCATGTTTTAATACATATAATTATACGTGCAAATATATCAAATGCTCTGATCATATTCTCATAGATGAGACATTTATATAAATGTATAAGTTGCTACGGCAAACTCTCTTCTATATATATCTGAAGCATTTACAACGAATAAATTAATACCATTTATATCAACAATATTAAAAATTGTATTTTTCTAAACTTTGCACATAAAGATAGTAAAATTGAACGAAGTAATTGCAAATCTAGAAGACGCTATACAAATTAAAGATTCGCAATTAAAAAGTGCACATCATGAGAAGGGCAGATCACTGGCGGAAGTGAAGAAGCAAAAAAGATGTAACAGGAACCTTAAACGTAAGACTCTCGACCGTTGCTGCAGAAGCTATTGCGTGATTCAATGGATATGTACAAAACATTATGTCCAAACGGTGTATTAATTGTCTTTATTGTAGAACAGTTAGATGACGAAAGATATTTTCATCAACGAGAAAAAGATTATTTCACCGAAGAAATGCAACGCTACAGAACTAGATACATCAGTAGCGTGTCCAAGTTCGAACAACAACAACAACGTAAAGAGCTGGAACAAACGCAGGATATCTTGAAGAAGGAGAACAAGCAACTCAAAGGGGAATTGGCGAATAAGAACGCAATTACTTACAATTTATGTATAAAGTTTCTTCGTATGAAACACGCTAAAGACACATTAAGATACAAATTAGATCAACTGTTGCACGAGCATTTACTGGTGATGGTGGAAATGATGGAGAAGTTAGACGAGGCGAGAAAGGAACTTAACTTAATTGTGTCAAAGAAATTTCAAGAACCCTTGCCCCTCAGTAAGGCCAAGTTCTTGCAAGTAAGCAATTTTCCATTATATTACGAGAATACTTTGTACTGTTTGCGACGTACAACCTACTCGGCCTTATTTAGTGCAATAACTGAAAGATAAATTGAGCTTAATTATACATAATGTTACGTAAATCGTTAGGTTGTGCAAAGAAATAATAGATTGATGTATGAGAACGCAACGTTAAAAACGCAAGTTCACCTACTCATACAAAAATTAAAAAGTAACGTTCAAAAACCAAAGAAGATTAACGTAGACGCCACGATCATCGAGAAATTATCGACGCAACGCAGCGCAAGGTATGTTAGAGGGAACTATAAAAATGATGTTCACGTTAAAATATTGGATCATGAGTTACTACAAATTCAACGATCATTGTCACGATGTACTTTCAATGTTAAATCAAATTTCTACATCACATTTTTTCCTGATTTTACTGAGATACGTACAAAATACATACAAAATATACGGGTACTTATGTCTTCGATCTTTTTAGGTCAATTCTGAGTAAAACCGAAAGGATCGCTTTGCTTTCTAAATTGTCTCAATCTGTCGACTATTTCGAAGATGTAAAAATGATCTCACGAGCGCATTCAAGAAATGTAGATGATTGTACGCTGGACAATGTGAGAGACAATGGAGAGGTTTCTAAAGAATTTCTCACTGAACGTGCCCAAAGCTCGCCAGAAATCGTAGAAACATCAGCAATTTCTCACCAGAACTGATAGTTCCTCCACGGACAATGTACCTAATCACGATTTTGGACGTCTGTTTATTCATCGGAAACCTGACAAACACAGCAAAAACATCCGCACTTGTTGCGACCGTCTTATTGCCGATCGTCGATGTCAAAGATTTTATATTTTCCATTGGTACAGCACGATAACGCGTCGAGATATGTTTGAATGACACGACAAGATAAAGAAAATCTTATCGGGCAATCTCAGAGATAAGAGAACTTGTGTTATATCTGCCATTCACATTTCAAAATACGGCTTCTTTTCATCTCTTGCGACACATCTTTCCACATCATTAGCAAGAGGAGAGCTTTGAGAAATTGATAATATCAATTGTTCCGCACCGCGTCAGGCCTGTGTAAGAGATAAACGGTGTTAATAACACGCATGCGATTCTATTTATATTAACCCTTATAGTGCTGAATAACAATATATCGTTGTTAGCAACACTTGCGAAAAGTACCAACTACGATATATCGTTGCGCATACAATGGTGCCTTACTATTCGCATCGCGAAAGAACTCTGTCTCAAAATAAATTTATAAAACATTATAAATGATTGAATTCCTCGTCAGAAGTCTTATGTGAAATGTTCCATGAATTGAAAAAGTTTATGGGTTTAACTTTCTGTTATATTCCACGATGCTCCTGATGCTTGTTGCGCATCATGCGGATTATCATTTAGTTTTGTGTTTTGATTAATAATTTTGTTAAAAATAATTGCATAAAATGCAGTATTTATGCTTTATACCACTACGTGTTCTACATCAAACTATGACCAAACGACGATTCTTCTTATTTGCAAATACTGTTTATAAAAAATAACTGATTTTTTCATTTTTCCTAATGATTTTGAATAAACATTATTGGTATTGATTTTCAACAAACATTGAAATACATTCGGCATTAATTTATTCTCCCTTTATTTCGTAATATGTTCTTTTTCAATTCGATAAATATCATTCTTACTTTTATGTTTATACTTTTTTCTCAAACCTTACTAAATTACATCAACTTGATCCGGTATTCTTCGTATTGTACCTAAGTACAATTCTTTCGATTGGCATCAAAAGGGTTAATACAAAGCGACATAAAAGCGACGTATATGCGGCGTATATGTGGAAGAGCGACTGACGGCGTATATTATTTCACGAACCGACCCAATAAAAGGTATCGACAAAATGCGGAAGAGATGTCAATTCGACGATGAATCCGTGGGCGTTGAACCTAACCTATATCGGATCGCGACGGCGATTAAAGCGATAAAAAAAGACTGCTGCGTCGTTGCAGTATTCAGTGACGCGTGTATGTACGCTTTCGGCACTCATCAGTATTTTATGCGCGAGGAGTCATCTCTCTTCTGGATAACCGAGTTCCTCTCAGCACACTTTTCGCCTTTGATCCTGAGGAATCACATTTCTGTGAAAACTCGCAGCCTCTCTGTAATCAAAGAACAAGGGCTAAGCGACCAACTCAGGCAAATTCGAGACCGACGAACTTTCGCAAGCACGAAATATTATGAAAATACGCGTCTCTCAACGGCGCCTCTGAATTTTCGACTCCTCATCTCACCATTTAACTTCTTTAATCGCTCCGAAATTATCTTGCAAATTGGATCTTGACTCTAACCGGTTGAAATTTTTCAGACATCTTCCAAGATGCGGGGATGGCCTCTCGAACAATGTGCATCGGTCCACGGCACGGTGTCTCGGCACGGCGATCGGGCGATCGGAAATCGAAGGAGGCGGGGGCGATGAATGTTAGCAGCCTACGACCGCATTCGTGGTCGGAGAACCTAGCCGCTTACCCGTTGCTTCGACGGAAAGGAAAAAGAAATGCCGGTCAGCGGGTGGTTAAGTGCTACTAGGGAAACCTTTAGGACAGTTTACCGCTTCGGCCGCGCGCGCGAAAGAGAGAGAGAGAGAGAGAGAGAGAGAGAAAAGGAGAAACGAAGAGAGATAAAGCTCTCCGGTCGTTCTCGAGTCAGCCATTAAAACCGTTGCGTTGCGGGAGTCGGACACCCATCGACTTTCCTCGACGTCACGGGGTTCTCTCGCGACTTCGGCAACCACGACTGAGCAGAGTGCTCCGTGGAGATGCTCCTCACCCGAGGTGGTACATACGCACCTCCGTTTATCCAAGCGCTAAATCACCGCGACGTACCGCAGCACGGTTATCGCGAGGTAAGGATGGGCGATGCGAAAATACATCGATGTTTAAAATGTCGATTAATAAAAATAAAATTGAAATGACATCGATTATTTTCTAAAAAAAGAACGACTTACCGATTAATCGATTAAATTTGCAAAGTAAATATTTAAATTGGTTAACACCAGATTGAACATTGCTAGGGGTGCGTGCGGAAACATCATTCGGATGCTCTCCTTGCTTAGACGTTGGATGCGTTCTTAAATTCGCAACAGATATAGCCGGTGTTATTCAATCCTTATTTTTCGCTGAATGTTAAACGAAGATGAAATGCCGCCCGCAGTATTCTCAGTATTACTAGAAATCCTCTTAAAGGATCTTGCACACTGGTCGCATAGCGACGTGCTACAAGCGATATCTAATGAGAATTCTATTTTAAAGGAATGAGCTTTCATTTCTTCTTAAAACAGAACTCTCATTGGATATCACTTATTGTTCGTTGCTAATCGTCTCAGTGTGCGAGGCTTTTAACTCGGCATCTCATTTGATGGTGGATATTGGATTGGCAAATAAGTTCGTTCGGTTTTTGTTTCAGTGTAAGTTTCATGCGGATTCGCTTTTCTTTTCTCAGCGCTATCGTGCAAATCGAATACACACTTGAAAAAGGTTATGTTTCACTGTTTATGTTGTGGTGTGTTTGGTTTGGCTAACATCAGTATTGGTATGTGCTGCGTAACTGTGAATATGGAAATAAATAACGTGCATTATCGTCACATTTTGCTCTATTATTTTAAAAAAGGCAAACGAGCTGCGGATGCTCATAAAAAGATATGCCGTGTGTATGGAGATGATGCCTTGACAGAACGCGTATGCCAAAAGTGGCATGCCAATTTCCGTTCTGGAGATTTCGACGTCAATGATGCGCCCCGCTCCGGTCGCCCGACCGGGATTAATTCAAGTGACATTAAGGCTATAATCGAAGTAAATCAATCCCAATCGGTACGAGAGATTGCTACGACATTGAATATATCCCACACAAGTGTAGAAAAGCATTGCGCCAGCTGAGATACGTTTCTCGGCTTACTGTTTGGGTGCCGCGTCAATTAATCGAGACTAACTTGACCACACGCATATCCATCTGCGACTCGCTACGGAAACGCCAAGAAAACGACCCATTTTTGAAACGAATGACGTGACGGATACCGAAAAATGGGTCGTCTACGATAATGTAACATGTAATGTAAGAAAGATCATGGGGGCGCAGCAGCGAGCTACCGCAAACAACCTCGAAGGCAAGATTGCGAGATCCGAGGAAAATAATGCTCTCCGTTTGGTGGGATTTCAAAGGTGTCATCTATTACGAACTGTTACCGTCAGGTAACAGGCAAAATTCAACTGTATACTGTTGATTCAACTGTATACTGTTCGCAATTGACGAAATTGAACCAAGCAATCCGCACAAAACGTCCAGAATTGGCAAATCGCAAGGGTGTCGTCTTCCACCACGACAACGTCAGACCTCATACGTCATTGACCATTCGGAACAAATTGCTTCAGCTTGACTGGGATGTTTTGCCTCATCCTCGGTATTCATCGGATCTTGCCCCTTCCGATTATCATTTATTCCGGTCGCTGCAGAACTCTGTGAACGGGAAAACTCTTCAAGGATGAAGAGGCCGTTAAAAATCACCTGGATTGGTTTTTCGCCGATAAGCCTCAGACGTTTTACGAACGCGGCATAATGAAGTTGATAGAAAGATGACTAGAAGTCATCGATAAAGATGGCCAATATATAATTGATTAAAATTTATCTTGTGTATCAAGAAATTGTGTTTTATTCTACTTTAAAAAACCGAACGAACTTATTTGCCAACCCAATATTTTCCTTGTGATAAGAGAACTAATTTTGGGAAAATAAGTGCTCTCATTGGGCCATTCGGCAACGTTCCGAAACTTATCAATAAAAACAACCCTATCGACTGTACAATAGATGTATTGTATTAGATTATAGATGTAATAGTAAGCTATAAGCCTCAAGAAATTAACCAATCCCAACCTACTTTTAAAAGAATAATTGACTGTGTAGTTGGCTAATTTCTTAAGACTTAAAACTTACTATACCTCTTGTGGATTCGGATTTAACGTTCATAAATTTTATTTTATCGTATCTGAAAGATGATATTACAAAAATCCCCTATAAAAAAAAAATAAAAAATTGGTTGCCGATGTTGAGAAAAAATCGTCCAACATCGATTAATTGAAAGCGAACTATCGGTTTTTTCGATTAATTAATGAAAATCGTCCATCCCTATTGCGAGGCCAGACTGCATCCATTAAAAATACCAGCCCGCGTATTTTCGTCACATATTTAGCGCTAATTGCGGCCGCGCATGTCCGAATTTGCTCGTCGCGGCGCGTATTCATTCATCGCGCTACTAAATACGTGCAGCACGGAGAATAACGATCTCCGGCTTGCAACCTTTCCGATGCGGCGGCAACGTGCGGGCGAAAATATACGATTAACAAGAGACAATTTCGCTCCTGCGCCGCCGCAAATAGCGACCGAGCAGCCGATCGCGAAATAACCTTTCTATCCCACTCGACACCGAGACACCGAGGACACAATCGACATTTGATGTTCGAATGCTATTTAGATTCCCAATGTCTGCCGTGATCTTTTACGCATCAAGATTAAAGCAATTTCGATCGTACATATATATAACTGGAAAGGAAAAAACTCGCGTGATATTGAGTGAATTGAACAGAGAAAAATTGGAAAGTGCATTTTTTTGCTATTTGCTGAAATTTGTCTTTTTGCAAACTTTTCTCGCTGATTTTCATCCGTCAGTTTCT